TCATTTAAGAATAACAGTTAAGAACTGACAGACTGGATTTAACAACAACAACAAAAAAGTAAGACCCAACTATATGAGATTGTATTGGTCAGGGTTCTCCAGAGAAACAGAAGCAATAGGATGGATCATTGGGCATTGGCTCACATGATCATGAAGACTAAGTTCCACAATCTTCTGTCTGCAAGCTGGAGAACCAGTAAAGATGGTGGTATAATTCAGTTGGAATCCAAAGTCTTGAGAACCACGGGACTAATGGTGTAAGTTCTAGCTGGGTTCCAAAGGTCAAAGAATCAGGAGGCCAATAGTATACATGTCAGTCCAAGTCTGAAGGTTAAGAACCAGGAGCACCAATATCCAATGGCAGGAAAAGATGGACGTCCCAGCTCAAGCAGAAAACAAATTTGCCTTCCCTTTCCCTTTTTGTTCTATTCAAGCTCTCAAATGATTGGATGGATGATATCTACCCACATTGGTGAGAGCAATCTTCTTTATTTAGTCTACTGATTCAAATGTTAATTTCTTCTGGAAACACCCTCACAGACACACCAAGAAATAACGTTTTACAGCTAGCTGGATATCCATTAGCCCAGTCAAGTTGACACTCAAAATTAACATTTACAGAGGTCTACAAGAAACCTATTTTAATATTATGATAGTAGACTTCCAGTTTCAGCTCCAACATGTAAAGAATTTGGAAGTTATAACTCATATCATTAAAAGAAAAAGATGAGAAAACTGAAAATCAATGGCTTTTCTTGGACCCAAAAGAGAACTGCATGGCAAATTGCCACCCCAAAATCTGGACAGATCCAGAGTTGAAGCTCAAATCTGCTTACCAGAAGCAAAACCCACCAAAGCACAAACTGGTAGAAACGTTTTGGTAGATTTGATGAATTGCTGGAGGTTGAGTGTGGACTACCTTGAATGGGAGACTTGGAGCTGCAATATTGAAGGGGGGGGGCACATACTCATGGCTTTTACCTCCAGGAACTCCATCAAATTCTCAGAGAAAAATTGAAAAAGATCCCCTCATGGCTCTGGCAGGGGGAAGAGGAATAGAAACCACTGGAAAATGTGCCTAGTGTTTTCCATAACAAAAAAGCCTAGTATCCAGGGGAAAAAGACTTTAACAGGGCCCTATCCAGGATCACACAGCATGGGTAGCTTACAGCACCAATGCATGTATCACCAAGTTTGAGGGCTGTGCAGCACAGGTCTAAGTTGAAATCTGAGGTGGTGAAGATCACCTGTAGAAAATGTAGGATAAACAGTCATTGTCAAACTGTCTTGTGAGAAGTGTTCACTGCTTTTCCCAGAGCTAAAGTTTCTATGGTGAAATAAGCTTGAGAAAGGCTGTATAATATCCCTTTTAAGGAGTCAGATAACATATTAATACAGTAGACTCAGAGAAACCCCCAAGTAAAATTGGAAGCTATTACAAGTTTATTCCCAATCCTGTTTGTACATCAATAGAGCTTATTTGATTTTTAGTAAATACGACACATGGGTCCCAGCCCATACCTAAGGATATGAGAGAGGCCAATATCAAGACTCAAAAAAAAAAAAAAAAAGACAAAGAATTGTTAATAAGATGGTTACAGTACCAGAAAAAAAAATTTTTTTCCTCAGTAAAAGATGCAAGTTCTTTGCAATAATAAGTAGTAAAGGAACCCAATGTGTTACTCCAAATGTGCCTGACATAAAAGTTACGTTGAGCTGAAGGCAATTAAGAAGCAGGAAATCCAGGGAAGGTCTCCCTTTTCTGCCTAAAGGCAGGATATAAATTCTTTTACTGGAGGCAGACAATCTTAGCCCAGACACAGCCCCAGAGGAATCTGCAAACAAACTACTCCATTAGTTTCCTCACACATATTTACCTTCCTGCAATCTGCCACCCTTGGAAAGCTAGAACTTTCTTTTGTCCTGTCATTTCCCCACAAATTTATTGTTCTTTGTTGAAGATACTGGGTAAGCCAGAATGCGAAGCCACCAATTTGAGATACTACTCATTTTAAGTTTTTCCTGCGTGATGTGTGCTGCATGTGTTAACAAACTTTTTCTCTCATGTTTTTGTTAGAATCCTATCTGAAAACCTAAGGTTTTCAGAGGTAAAGTTTTAACTCTGCTATAGTATGAAAGGCAGCTCATGAAAGCTTGAGAAAAGAGGTAAAAGCTTGAAATCACTGCCACCAGAGATGTAAAAGGAAGTCAAGGGATGAAAACTGAAATTCATTTACAAAGCAGCTCAAAAAGCCCTCTTGAAGTCAGAGCAAGACTTTGGAGCAGACCCAACCAACCTGCCCAGAAGGACGAGTAGAGCGAAGGTACTAAGAAGTTTCCCAAGGACTGGAATTTAACAAGGCAGGTACCGGAAGAAGTCCTGATGGGACCTATTAATTTCCTAGGGTTGCCATCAAAAAGTAGCACACACTGGTTGGCTGAACGCCACAGAAATTTAGTCTCATAGTTCTGGAGGCCAGAAGTCCAAAATTAAGGTGTTGGCAGGGCCATACTCTCTCGGAAGCTTCTAGGGGAGGATTCTACCTTACCTTTCCTGGCTTCTAGCAGCCCCAGGCATTCCTTGCCTTGTGACAGCATACTTCCAATCTCTCCCATAGCCATCTTCCACGTTTTCACATGGTGACCTCATCTTAATTTCCCAGTAAGGTCACATTTACAGGTAGGACTTCAACATATCTTTTTGGAGGACACATTCAACTCTTAACAGCAAGTTATCTTAAGGAGTTAAGGACAACTCAACAGAAATCACTTAATGAGGGGGTTGCTCTGGCTCAATAGGAAGATAAGCCATAATGGGCTGGGACACAGGAAGGGGAAGAAAGGGTAGGGAGGGTGCTGGGAGTTTTGAAAGAAGCCTTGTTAAATTACTGCCAGAAAACCTATTGAAAGTCTGGGAGAAAACACATTAACACATTAGTAATGGTAGGACCATTGATAGGTTTTTCTTTACACCCTTTGTACATTCCAAATTTTCTACAAGAAGTGTACAATTTTTATAATGAGAGAAACAATTATTATTTTACTTTTATTTTTTTCCAAACATTTTTTTTTTTTTTGAAGAGCAGCTCAATGATTTGGGGATTGGTTAGTACAATACAGAGAACATAGGGGAAAAGTACAAATTGGCCCTTAAACCAATGCCAGTATTCATCTCATTATCATTATAATTAAGAATGTTATTAATTTCTGTTACTCACTTTTCTTTAGAACATAAATCAAAACCATTAACTTGAAGTTGAGGTATATACACAATACATACACAACCTTATGCAAAATACTTTTCATAAGTAACATTACATTTTAAAATATTGGAAACTGAATATCTGTGCTGATTTGTATTTTGACTTAATGGAACAAAAAGAGAACATTCAACAAAGAAGGGTTATACTGATAATATTAAAGTTTTAAAAAAATGTCTTCCTCTCCCTTTGTACTTACCACAGACTACACAATGTCCTGAGAGGATTCGTTATGAGAAAAAAGTCAATTGCAGCTTTAGATCTTGCTTTGGAAGAAACTAATGAGAAAGCAATTGGAAGGTGAGGCTTCATCTTCATTTTCAAATAAGTGGTCTTAATTTTTCTTCTTATAGAAAAAGTTTAAATCAGTTTACTATAAATATATCTGAATCATTAATTTTTGCAGCTTTCAGGTAAAGTCCAGCACTTCATTTATAAAGTTTATGAGAAGGTCAGTAGAGATCATCTAATCTTAAATCGTGACATCATCCATTCAAGTCCTTGGCATAATCTCATGGGCTAACATTTTAGAGTTCTTCTCTAGTTACAGAAATTCTTTCTCTGTCTGTGCTGTCCACACAGCTATTACAAACTCTGTGTTAGTATAGTAAGTGTTCCAGGAAGAACGAAGAGATTCTTGGCCACCAATATCCCACATTAGAAATCGTGTATTATTAATCAGTTCCTTCTACATTACTTCCTGTTGTAGGGATGTATGTACAACTTCATTCATAGAAAACTGGTAAAGGATGGTAGCTTTCCCTGCATTATCCAGCCCAATGATGATAACCTTGTGCTCCTGGCGATTGAACAGTCTCCATATCCTGGTGAAGAGAATTCCCGTTCCGGGGCAGCAGAACTCCCTCTAGCCACCCAGTCTGCCTGGCCTCCCCTGGCTCAGGCCGCCGCGAAGGAGAGAGGCGGCTGCAGCCTTCGCCTCTGCTGCCGCTGCTCCCGCGCTGGCCGCCGGCCCGCTTCCTGGGAACCGGAGGGAGGCCGCAGCTAGGCCGCCTTGCCG